ATTTCAATATTGATATAAATATATAGATCATAAATGAAAATTTTCTTTGTAAAATATTGTATCATAAAATTAAGTCGTTATAAAATTATTAAATATTTATGTAACAGATGTTCGCTTTCTAAAAACGTTCAGACTTTTGATTTCACTTATTTTTTAGGTAGTGAAAGTAGTAAAGAATTTCGCTTTTAAATTTTAAACATTATAAGTATATACAGAAAATAAAAATATTAAAGTTACTTCCTCGTGTATTTTTAAAATTCATTTCCGGAACTGTAATCCATGTGGATTAGGTTAGGTAATGTAAAATTTGAAAGTATATTACATTGCGTATTCGCATTCCGATATTTTCCTTTAAAACCGGTTTGAGCCAAATCATCAAGAATCATTAAGATCCACACAACGGTTTAGGCTAGGTAAAAAATTAATCTCAAAACATTGCAATATACTAGGAATAGCCAATACATTAGCATTGTTAAAATTAGTACTACCTAGTTTTATATTGAGTATAAATTGTGTTTATAATATTAAGTTTTTACATCTTCAAAATATGATAAAATATTAATAATTTCTAAACTATCATTAAGTCTAGTAGATATCTTCGAATTATAGTATTACTGTATTAGTTCAATGAGAAAACTTAAGTTATTATATATATATGTAAACAGAATAATTGTTGTCAGTCTTACACTCAAATTAACCCATATATATTTTTTTAGCAGATTTATATTTGTTTTTGTTAAAGATAAAATCACTGATTTTATCAGATTGTAACTAGCATTATAATAACGAATACGATGCGAAATCTAGTCCATACATTACTTTAGTCTAAATATGTAACTCAACATACGTATTCACTATACATATTTCGTGTTTATACTCGTAATTAAAAAAAAAAAAATTATATTTAAAATATGCGAAAATATACTTTAAAAAATATATATCTTTGTACCAATATGATGCGGTTCGTGGACCTACGCCTAACTAGCTAAATGTATAAAAGAACATACCAACTAACATACCAATACATTATAACCCTAATAATTAACTATATTATACCCTATCTATAAAAATGTACCCATCTACCTACCTATTTAGTATCATAAATATACTATCGTAAATATTTTTACTGCTTGCTGTTTTAGATGCTGAACTTACGTTATAATTTGTATGCCGTAACTATATTAAAATATATTTATATTACCTATAGCTTTTATTTTTGTTTTTATACTTAACATGCATTAAATTAAACATACGCCATTATGTTAATCTATCAAATATAGTTTAATTTTTACGACTCGTATACATATTTTGTGTAATACTATAATTATATATCTTAGAGTTTATTTTCATTCACTAATTATTCATGAAAAAAATTTAAAACTTTTTATTTCAAATAGGAATATGTATACACTATATGGAAGTATACAAGCTATTTAAATATTATGTATATTACAAAAAGATATATTAAAATCGATATTTTCCTATGAATATTGAGAACATTGAAAATATTCATTCACTATATAATTATAATTTAGGACATTTCAGGGTTGAACTAACCAACAGCTAAAATATCTGAATAAATTTTTTTTTTTTAATTGGTAAAATGAATAATAGTAGATATTTTTGATATTTTTTAAAACCTGATAGCATTATGCATTTATATTTAAGTATGATTGTCGATTTTATGATACAAATAAACAATATTTATAAAAATTGTAAACATAAATATATTAATAACTTTCTTAACAATGTTACATTTTTCATAAAGCAATTATTATCAAATTAAAATATGTTTTTTAAATGTTATTCAACTACCTGAGAATAATGTAGTTATTATTAATATTATCTGTTTAACCAGGTTGGTTTAAATTTTTTTTCTAATTTGGATATTCTAAATCAACATATTTTATCCCAATACCATGTAAAAACACAGGAGAAGTACAATTCCCCAACCTCTTATATGCTGAAGTGATATTTAAGTTAGTAAAAGATACATAGGTACCTATATAAATTAATTATTCAGCGTTATTACTATAATAGTATGCGATTTACACTATTATAAATTGATGGAATGTAAAACCTATTAAGAGTACAACAATATCATGAAATAATCATTTAAATACTAGTGCATGGATTTCATATTCGTAAAATATTCTACATTTTTATTTAGGCATAATAGTCATTACAGTGCACCTAATAGAATGCATGCATAGCTCCGACTCAGCATATAAAAAATAATTTGAAATGGGAACTCATTGCAAATTAAGAAAAGGTATTTAAAATGGTTTTTTGTTATAATGGTAATTCATTAAGCGTTTTTAAATTGGTATACATATGTATGCTTATTTTTGTTCAGTATAAAATTCAAACTGCGCCTTTTAAGTTTCGGACGTTACGGTTATTTTTATATTTTTTTTTTTTTTTTTGCTCCGAGGCTATTAAAAAGTATTTTCTATTTTGTTTTAATTTGCAATTTGTATGTTTTACATGGCGTTGTTTTTATTACATAAACGCATTATACCATCGGGGTGAAATTTAGATGGGTCATCCCGTGGCCGTGGGTGGTTGGTGTGTCCGCTCACAGTATACCCAAATCCTACGAAAGACATAATAATATAGACTAGTGCGTTACAGTTACGACGAGTGTACTAGTAAATAAACTGACTGTAATATATCAAAAAGTAGTATAGAAATATGAATATTCATGAAACTCCAAATACCCATAGTATGTTTTACAATATAATATCGTTTCACAGACGATGGTTATATAGGTAGGTACTTCTATTGACCGATAGTCCCGGTTACCACTGCAAGTATAAACATCAGACCACTGTCCAACTAACGAATAATTTAGCAATTAGTTCACGGCTTTATTACAATATCGAATACACCATAGGTATTTCAATGTTATTACATCAATTCAATCGAAACGTTGTTAATTAACCTAATTAACCAAGTCTCTCCAATTTACTTTGATAATGATGTTTTTGTTTTGTTTCAAAAGCAGTTGATTTTTAGATTTACATTTACATTTTGGTCCGGTGTTATGAATTTATTCGTGAGACATCACATTGAAACAAAGACTTCTCTATCTTTTACAGAATTCTTGCGCCTTGTTTTTAATAAGTTTGCATGATTTTAAATAAAACCACAAACGTATTCAAAAAACTTCTTTTGAACATTTTCAACTTAAAAAGTTTGTAATGCATTATATCAAAATATGTTGAAGTAGGTAAATAATGAGGTAGGTACAAACAAATTTGTACACATTGTAAAATATTGAACATAGCTATCTGATATTAGAACAACACAATCCTTTAAAAAAAAAAAAGATAATACTCAAATCATATTTTGAAAAGTATATTCAAAATTAAACAAGTCTGTGAAAAATAGTATTATACTATAAATGGCTTTTGTTCCGTTTCATACATTACATACATTATGTATTACACATTTTACATTTATCATTAAAAAAAAAAGTCAGCTTAATATGTTTCTACAGTTTCTAATTATTTACAAATTTAACATTTTTGTTATTTTCATGTTGGTTTAAAATATCATAATATATACCCGAAACAATTTTTTAATTGAAAATCAGCTCTGCTGGTACAAACGTAGGTGATATCAATTTAAGTTAAACGTTTCACATCATAATATTATAATGTTAACAACTAGCAATTTTGTATTCATATAATTATTTTTATTCTGGTAAATAGGTACACAATTGTAAGTTAAACTGAAAGAAATTCCATTTCTGCAGGTTGTGGTGACGTTACGTCATTAGTCAATTCATAAATCGGATTATAAAAACAATTTTGATGGTAAAAACATTTATCCAAGTCAAGTAGTTTTTAGAACTTTTTAAATTAGCAATATCTTTCTGGAATAAATTAATTTAAAACGTAATACATTTTTTAAAAATATGATTTTCGGGAATTTCCTGACATGAGTATATTTCTTAAGCTATTTATTATCAATATAATTTTCACAGTTGTTGTCATATGTTTAACTACTAGTATACATTTTTTTGTAGTTTACATTTTTCTGTTACACCCTGTTTTATTTATTTATTTATTTTTTTGTATTCTCATATGCTTATTTCATTTTAATTTGGTTTCACACAACATTTCACAAGTGAAACAGCCAGTGACGTGAATCGCTTATAAACTTTTCGTGTATATACAGTATACTATTGATTAATGTAACATTGGCTAGATAAATACATCATAATTAAAAAAGAGAAAATAAACTAAAATATTCATAGTTCAGAATACTAGATATCTACTAGAAAAAAGAATGCAATCTTTTTTCATGAGACGTAGGATATCAATACATACTATTTGTTTCAAAATATGTAACACAAACTTTAAAGTCAAACTCTATCCTAAACCAAAATAAATACTGCACATTTAGGACTTACGGTTAATATAATATATCATTATTATGCAATATAAATATTGGGTCAAAAATCTAATAATCACCGGAGAACCATTTAAAGACATACTCTCGGAGAACACATGTTCCCATTAGTTAGGTTGTTCTTTGTTTCAATGAAAATCTAAACTCTAATTAGTATACTGAAGGTAAAAATATTACAAATCGATTAAATATTTTACCATCACTTCAATATTACAGTCCAAAATAATATAGAATGTGTCGGAAGACTATAATTATTATTGAGTAACAGACAATTTATAACATAATATTATATAAGTACATAGTTCAACTATTGACACTAGAATTTATTAAAGTGATTTAATAAAATTACAAGGTTTCTTTAATAGAAATCATTGTGTTTTGATATGACTTGTAAATAATTAGACCCTCCGTTAAAAAAATGAAGTGATCTCTAAACGTTCGATAAAGATCGTGAGAGTACCTACGTATAATATCCGAGTGTGCATCGATCATGGCCCAAAAATATAAAGTCTGCGTAATTGATTTTGCACGCACAGTTGTGTTGCAATAGTCGTCAACTTTAATGCAATGTTCAGAATTACCTGTACTGCGTTAACGATGGTGTACGAAGACAGTATCGGCCACTCCCAAGAAAGCACTGTTAACGGTCCGCTAATAATGCACACCATACTGTCAGCGACGCACAAGTTTAGCAGCAAAAGGTTGTTGGAAACCTTATGGCTCATGGATAGAGCCAGAAACACACATAAATTCGCTGTGGTGCCGATTATCGCCACAAGCACCATGTGGACGGCCATTAATGACGTAGCTATGGTCGAAAACCCATCGTCTGTAAAATGTTTGTAAAAAAACACATTAGGAATAAGCTTGTGAATGTATTTTGACCTGATAAAATTAATGAATGATATAACACCAAAGTGATACTAGTTAATCATTTTCGAGAACAACCGCAAACCATTTGTACGTAAGAGGTACATCTCGCAGGTAAACATAATTTCATAATTTTGGATTCTGAGCTGAGCGCTGTATTTTACAATGATGTGTGTTATTTTATTTATTTTGTTGTGTGTCATCAAACTTTACCTTTTGGAGCAGTAAAATTATTTCAATCTTCAACTTCATTATATTGTCTAGTAGAAAAGAGAATCTAGTTAATACTTTGGGAGGTCAAAGCAAAAAATTCCCAGTACTTTTCTTAAAAATTTTAAAAAAAATTTTAAAAATAGGGAAAAATGGAAATTGATCAGCTAAACCTGTTTTCGAAATAATGCATTTTGTTATTTTGATGTAGTTCAAAAACAAATAATTGTACATACTTAATATTTTCACTAAATGTTTAAATTATAGTTTTGATAATACGTGGGTGCTCAATAAAACTTTCAAAATATTTAGATTAAGTTTAAGCTATGTATAGGACATCAACATTTTCAAATATCAATAAAAAATGTAAGCTCAGTCAATTTTGGAATTATTTTGAAAAAAAGTTGAACTTACAGCTACAATAATTGGTTATGACTTTATGAGTGTTTTAAGTTAATATTTTGACAAAATTTGTTAAATTCACTATTTTGATGTTAAAAATCTATACAATTACTATTTTTATATGTAAACCTAGAAATTGAAAACAAAAGGTAACTATCGTAATTAGTTCTTACTGTCACTGTTTCTTACTAAAATCTTAAAATTTAAAGAATGTTAGGGGTATTATCAAACATTTTTTTATTTAGTTTGGACATTGTTTTGACATTTGATATTTAAGCGAAGAATAACGATTTGAAAGCGATGTCTTTAGGAAAAATTAATTCAAGTTCTCATATTATTAATAGGTAGTAAAATAAATTACTTTAGTATCAATGTAAATACATAGTATAAAATACTTATAGTAATAAAGGCTGATGGACAATCTCCGCTAAGAATCGTTCTTCGTTCACAATGATTAATTATTATTAAATTCAAATTGAACACATAAATTACAGTAAATTACTCCTCAATGACGAGCCACATTCAACACCTAGTACCTGCTGTACAGCATAGCAGTTACCTACTTTCCTACATTTTTATTTACTATTATTTAGGTACATACTACTATTATTACAGGCTGCAGAGTGCCGGTTGTTTAATGTTAGGTATAATAATAAGATAACTAGTTTGTCAAAGTTAATGAAACTACTACGCTCACGCTCAATGCATACACAACTTTACACAATACAATTAAATGTAATAGCACACCAGTTACACATACAAGTTTAAATAATTATTTAAATTTTTTTCTTTATATCTGTAGAAATAAATTTCAAATCAAATAAAAAATTTAAAAGTTTACATTTGAGTATTAGTTACAAATGATCATAATTATTTTATTTTGTATGTCTAAATACTTGCATTAAATAATTAATGATAGACTATGCATACTATGGGTCTACATTATAAATATATAATTAAAATAACATATTTATTTTTTTATGTGTCAATATAATATGCATTGTAGACTGTAGAGTCATACAGTATATCTGCATAAATATATTTTTACAATTTTTAAAAATAAATTAATTTAAGCTACATAATATTATGTGTGATAATGATTATTATTTATTAATAAGCTATAACTAAATTTAAAACTTTTAAAAATTACTTAATATTAGTCTAGGAGGAAGACAAGTTCATTTGTACATAAAAATACACAAAATATGACATATTTTATTAACTAGGCTTAACAAGATTTTAGATTAAATGTGATTTTGCGATGAGAACGTTTGGTTTTAAAAAAAAAATTTTTTTTGTTTGTTACACCATAAGTAGTCAAAATAAAGCTTTGATTTTTAACTTATGGCACTTATGAGAAGTTCTTTAACGTAGTTTTTCTATAACGGCTCATAAAAAATTTCACTCAGTCAAGAAACTTTAAGAACATTTAAATTAAATAAACAATTGGAACTTTTTTTTAGCTCCTTGTGTAACTATAATAGCTTAACAAGTATTAAATATATATAAGTATATAACTGCATAAAATACCTAAATAGAATACATTAAAAATTAATAATAGTGAACATAAAACATTAAATAATATAAAATAGTTGTTATTTTAGTTATTTTACTGCAATTTTAAAAATATTATAGCAAGTACTTCCAACTTTTTTAAGTATGTTAATATATTTCATACACACAATAACACTTTCAAATTCAATATTGTCAAGCAAAAATTATTCAACCTAATGCGTTACTATTAGTATAATAAATTACTTTGATAGGTAGTATTACAAATATATCATATTATTATAATATAATATTTAGTAATTTAGTGACAGACCGTTTTTATTTAGAATTATTTTTGTTATAAAATGATGTAATATCATTGAATTTAAATTTAACACATCCATTACAGTGACCCACGTGACATCTAAAGTACAGTAGAGTGATACCCACTAGTCCACCTTTTTTTTGTAATGGTGACCTTTTTTTCGTATAATGCAACGTAATTTGTTATACAGTCATTTATCATAGTATACTCAATTTAAAATAAATTTTTGAAAAGCTAGGTTACCCCTCCCTTCCCAGAGCCAATGCATATTTAGTGTTGTAGGCCCTTATTTTGAATATTTTGATGTCGTTTTTAAAAATTACTAAAAAAAGGTTCTGGTTTAAATTTAAGTAAAAATAAGTATTTTTAAATTGTTTTAAATTTGGGAACCCTAGGTAACACCATTAGTCTTAACGATTATCGTTAATAATAAAATATAGCACAACTATTAACTTATAATAATGATATATCATTTAAAACTATTACAAAAAAATGAAAAAACTGTTACAAATCAAACAAAATACAGCTATACATTTTGAATTTATAGTAGATGTATCTTATCTTAGTTAAAAATTAAATACTTATATCATTGGGGAGTAGTTTTGATCTAATATAACTACGAAAGTAATTATCTAAAACGGAAGTTGGTGATTTAATTAAGGGATTATAATGATATATTTAAATTCGTTGATAAATAAAGGTATACATAAGATATTCATGAATATTATTGCAATAAGGTGATCGATAGACACTTGGATTCACAGTCTTAAGAAGATTAACTGATCTATGAGCAGAAGGGGATGTTTGGAAGTTTTTGATTTTTTTTTATGTTTATAGTCTAGCATTTTATATTGTAGACTAGACGTCCTTTGTAGCATACTGACTGAGCCCCTGCACGAACAGCGACTTCATCCAGGCACTACCGATATTTAAAGTTACAAAACCTTTTTTTTAATTATAAAACTAAGGAATGCAAAAAAATAAATTTCAAAATATAACAATACATATATCATATAATTTCTGCTGCAACTAATATCTACTAAAAATTATGAAGATAAATTCTTTATACTGGGCAAATAAATATTTATTTAACATTGATATGATTTATTTTTAAATATTAAAATAATAAATTATCTATTAAAAAATCAGTATACATTTATATATCTATTATGGTAGTATAAAATCAACGACTATCATAAATATATTTTATCGCGCAGTATATTAATATTGGCTAGTGTCGATAAGAATTTAATAAAACTTGTAACAGTAAAAAAACTTATAGATTATTGAGACAGTAAAAAATCGAATTTAAAAACAAAAAAAAAAAATTTTCACAAAGCCTATGCTTTGGGTACCTGAAATCAGAACTGACTTAAAAACATCTTAAAAAAAAATAAAAATTGAATGAGTTTTGTTTTTATACTGTTAATACTCAATACTTTCGACATTTTTTAATAATGATTCCAAGCCCGTTTAAATAAATTTAAGTTTTTTTCTAGTGAAAAAAAATCTTCAAAAGTTTTTCAAAGTGCTACTTACAATTAAATTGTGAATTGTATATTAAAGTTGATGCTAAAGAGATGAACATTTTAATTTGAATGTTCTTTTATTTAAGTTTAATTTTTTAGTGAAACCTCAATACTGAAGGTCGTACATCAAAGTTGATTTAGTATACGAGTTTATAAAAATGTTTAATTGCGCAGAATAAACAAGTAGTAATTAAGATTTTTAATTTTTTAAAACCCCATAAAGAATTCATAGAAATGATTAACAGTGAGTATTAACGTAGATGGGTACGTATAATGATAAAGAATAGTAGTTCAAAATAAAACAATTTTTTTTAAATATTTGTTTTATTAGATGTTTCTATGAAAACAATAATAATACATTATAAATAACATTTATAAGGGTGGGTAAATCTCATATTAAAAATTAACATGTTTAGTTAATAGTTTCTTTAAAGACATTTTAAACCAAAATTCAGTTTGCTTTACCATAATAATACTCGAGGGACACTTCAGCTAAAGTTAAATCGTGTAAACTTTAAAGAAACTCTAACAGGTATAAATGTGTAATGTATAATGCATTACGTAATAACGAAACCATAACGATATTTCCGACCATCACCGGTTAAAATCTAGAGAGCATAATATTATTTCTTTTAAAAACATGTATTATTTACTCATAAATGCTTAATGAACAAAACATATTATTTCAAAATGTTTACGAAACAAGTGAATTATTGGTTTTACCATAATGAATCACTTCTTCGTAGGTAATACCCTTTTAATTAATATTTCTGCGTACTCCGGTCAAAACAAGCGGCGTGATAGATTAAAATAATTTAATAATATTTCATTTATGCAAATTATAAAATATTTGAATTCGTGTGCATACCTATACTTTTTAGTGTATTAGATAATAAAAAGAAGGAATTTCCTATTAATTATGGTATTATAAAAGAAACAACTTTAATACATTATCAACGCAAACAAATTCATAGTTTTATTCACTTTTATATTTTAGTATAA